CTGGGGGTCGTGTCCTCTCTCACTTTTCCACTGTCCTCCCGTGTCCGGCTGCCCCCTCGGGCACCCTGTCTGGCCTGTACCTCCCCTCGTTCTCGACGAACTTGGTGAGTGGTGCAGACCTGCATGATGCGGGGGTTCACCAGTTCACTCCTGCGAGTCAGCGGGTGACCCACTGCACGGACGCACGCACAGGCCGGCACCTGGCCACGTTCTCGCGTCGGCCGGGGTCGAGCCTCTACACCCTGACCACTGAGTCTCCTCGTGTCCCTGCGTCCGGTCAGGTAGCAGCGTCTGGTCAGGTGTTTGCTGCTGCGTCCAGGTCTGGTCCTGAGTCTGCCCCCTGTTCGTGTCGCCTCCTGTCTCACGAGACTCTCCTGTGGCACCACCGTCTTGGCCACCCCTCCTTGCCCCGTCTTCGGGGCATGGCTTCCCGTGTCCTTGTCTCTGGTCTTCCCCAGTCTCTCCCTCCCCTTCCTTCGGGACCAGGACCTTCCTGTGTCCCCTGTGTCGAGGGGCGCCTCAGGGCTGCTCCTCACTCCTCCCAGTTTTCCCCGACAGAGGCTCCTCTGCAGACGCTTCACATGGACGTGTGGGGCCCAGCCCCCGTCCGTGGGCAGGGTCACGAGCGCTACTTCCTGTTGGTGGTTGACGACTACTCGCGTTACACCACAGTCTTCCCCTTGCGCAGCAAGGGTGCTGCCATTGAGGTGCTGATCGACTGGATCCGCGAGGCTCGTCTCCAGCTCAGGAGGAGCTTCGGCTCGGACTTTCCTGTTCTGCGTCTGCACTCTGACCGAGGTGGGGAGTTCTCCTCTCGCCTTCTGCGAGACTACTGTCGTGCACAGGGGATCCGCCAGACCTTTACGCTTCCGGACTCTCCACAACAAAATGGGATTGCTGAGCGCCGCATTGGCATGGTCATGGATGTCGCTCGTACGTCCATGATGCATGCGGCTGCCCCCCATTTTCTGTGGCCGTTTGCGGTTCGGTACGCGGCGCATCAGCTCAACCTTCACCCCAGGGTCTCTCGGCCCGCGATGTCCCCAGTGTTACTGTGGACGGGGAAGGTCGGCGATGCGTCTGCGTTCTGTGTCTTGGGATCTCGGGCGTTTGTCCGCGACTTGTCTGCGGACAAGCTGTCCCCCCATGCTGCTCCCTGTGTCTTCCTTGGCTTCCCCCCTGACGCTCCAGGGTGGCAGTTCTACCACCCCTCCTCTCGTCGTGTTCTGTCCTCCCAGGACGTCACGTTCAACGAGTCAGTCCCCTTCTACCGCCTCTTCCCCTACCGTACTCCTTCCCTCCCCCCCCCACCGGACTTCCTGGTACCAGTTCCCCCCCTGGTAGACCCCCTCCCCCCTCAGGTTCCTGCCCCTTCAGGTGTGTCCCAGGTAGACACAGTCGAGCCAGTCGAGGTTGCTGCTGAGTCTGGTCCTGCTACGGGTGCTGAGCCTGGGGGTGCGAGGCCGGGGGGTGCTGTGTCTGGAGCTGCTGAGCCTGGGGGTGCTGAGCCGGAGGGTGCTACGTCCGGAGCTGCTGAGCCTGGGGGTGCTGGGCCTGGAGGTGCGGAGCCTGCGACTGCTGGACCTGGGGGCTCTCCGGTTCTTCCGTCTCGGCGGGAGCCGCTCTCTCCACAGGAGCTGCGCGAGTGGTTTGCTCGCCGCTGGAGGCGTGCTGCTGGAGCTGGAGCTTCTTCGACTGCTGAGGGTGCTGGTGCTGCCGGTCCCGGAGCTGCTGGGCCTGCGGGTCCTACTGGAGCTGGAGCTGCTGAGCCTGGGGGTGCTGAGTCTGGAGCTGCTGAGCCTGGGGGTGCTGAGTCTGGAGCTGCTGAGCCTAGGGGTGCTCCGTCTGGAGCTGCTGAGCCTGGGGTTTCTCCTGCTGCTGCGTCTCGGCGGGAGCCCCTCTCTCCACAGGAGCTGCGCGAGTGGTTTGCTCGCCGCTGGAGGCTTGCTGCTGGAGCTGGAGCTTCTTCAACTGTCGAGGGTGCTGGTGCTGCCGGTCCCGGAGCTGCTGGGCCTGCGGGTCCTCTTGGAGCTGGTGCTGCTGAGGGTGTTGGTGCTGAGGCCACTGCTGTCTGTCCTCGCGGTGCTTCTGCTGCTGGTGCTGCTGGAGGTCCTGCCGCTGGAGGTGTTGGTGGCGCTAGTGCTGTCGCTGAGGGTGCTGGTGCTGTCCCTGCTGAGTCTGGAGCTGCCGCGTGGCCTCGGGCGTACTTCGTTCCGCTCCTGCAGCAGGTTCTTGGTCTTTCTCCTCCGGTAGAGTGTCCACAGCCTGTCCAGTCGCAGCCACTGTTGGAGCCTTCCTCTCCTCTGCCTGCTCCCTCTCCTTACACTGGTCCTACTGGAGGTCTTGCTGAGCGTCGTGAGCCTGCGTCTCGTCCCGCGTCGCCTGTTCGTGCTGCTCGCGCTAGTGGTCGCGGTTCGCGTCAGCGTCCTCCTCCTGTCCCTGGCACGCACCGGATGTCTCTGCGTCCGTCCACTGCTCCTCTGCGTGCCCCTTTGCCTTCTCCTCCTGAGTCCTCTCTTCCTGCGCTTGCCGACCCTGAGTCGGACTCTCTTCGTGCTGCCAGTCCTACTATCACGCGTCTCCTTGCTACTGTCGTCACTGACCCCTCTTTTGAGTCCACTGCTGCGTTTGCTCTTGTTGCTGAGCTCGTCGACTTTGCTGCTCGCTGTCGTCTAGACTACGCTGCTAGTCTTGTTGCTGAGTCTGCGTCTGTCTGTCCTCCGTCCGTCGGGGGTGAGTGTGCTCTTGGCACGGACGTCCTAGAGGACAGGCAGGAGGAGTTACAGTGTCTGGCTGCTGCTTCACCTCATCTCGCGTCTGTACTGCTTGCTCCTGAGGGAGACCCGGATGCACTAGACATCCCGACTCCGCGCTCTTACGCGGAGGCCGTAGAGGGTCCCTACTACTCTCAGTGGCAGGCAGCTATGGATGCAGAGATGGCTTCCTGGAAGTCCACAGGCACCTACGTTGACGCAGTTCCCCCTCCTGGGGCGAACATCGTCAGTGGCATGTGGATCTTCCGGGTAAAGCGGCCGCCGGGCTCTCCACCTGTCTTCAAGGCGCGGTACGTTGCTCGTGGCTTCAGTCAGCGGCAGGGAGTTGACTACTTTCAGACCTTCTCTCCCACCCCGAAGATGACCACTCTTCGGGTGCTGCTGAACATAGCCGCTCAGCGCGACTACGAGCTTCACTCTCTCGACTTCAGCACTGCGTTCCTGCAGGGTAGCCTGCACGAGGAGATCTGGCTGCGCCGTCCACCTGGCTTCACTGGGACTTTCCCTCCTGGCACCCAGTGGAGCCTCCGACGGCCAGTCTACGGTCTCCGCCAGGCACCGCGTGAGTGGCACGACACACTGAGGACTACACTTGCGGCTCTTGGGTTTGCTCCGTCTACTGCTGACCCGTCGCTGTTTCTGCGCACCGACACTTCACTGCCGCCGTTCTACATCCTCGTGTACGTCGACGACTTGGTCTTTGCCATAGCGGACACTGCTGGACTCGCCTACGTGAAGTCCGAGCTGCTAAAGAGACACACGTGCACAGACCTGGGTGAACTGCGCAGCTACCTTGGCTTGCAGATCACTCGGGACAGAGCACGCCGCACCATCACCTTGACTCAGTCACACATGGTGCAGCAGGTCCTTCAGCGCTTCGGCTTCACGTACTCCTCGCCTCAGGCCACTCCTCTGTCTACTCGCCACTCGCTCTCAGCTCTGCCTTTGGATGAGTCCGTAGAGTCGAGTGGCCCGTACCCAGAGCTTGTTGGCTGCCTCATGTACCTGATGACCTGCACTCGACCTGACCTTGCATATCCTCTGAGCATTCTTGCACGCTATGTTGCTCCTGGGAGACACCGACCAGAGCACATGGCTGCAGCGAAGAGGGTATTGCGCTACCTGTGCAGTACGTCGGGCATGGGGCTAGTGCTTGGAGGGCGGAGTCCAGTGGTCCTTACAGGCCACGCGGACGCTTCTTGGGCTGACGACCAGGCTACGCAGCGGTCGTCACAGGGTTACACGTTCAGCTTTGGTTCCGGCTCTGTCTCGTGGCGGGCTACTCGTTCGTCTTCGGTTTTCAGCTCCAGTTGCGAGGCTGAGATCTACGCCGGGGCCATGGCTGCACAGGAGCTTCGCTGGCTCACCTACCTGCTGACTGACCTTGGAGAGCCGCCTCGTTCTCCTCCAGTGCTGTACGTAGACAACAAGGCCATGCTGGCCTTGTGTCGAGAGCAGCGCTTGGAGCACAGAACGAAGCACATTGCTCTCCGCTACTTCCTTGCTCGTGAGCTGCAGCAGCGTGGTCCGTTGCGACTTGCGTACGTGGCCTCTGAGGCCAACACTGCTGATGTGTTCACCAAGGCACTAGCGCCTTGTGACCATCAGCGCTTCTGCACCCAGCTGGGTCTTGTGCCTCTCTTGCCTCACTTGCTCTCCTCTTGACTTTACTTGTACTGTGACATATATATATCTGCTCTTGCTTGTCTAGTTTAATATATATATGTCTGTACTCCTGCATGTGAACTGGCCTCTGGCCCTGCTCTTGTGCTCGGACTGTGTGGTGACTTTGTGATCCACCCTGAGCTTTGCTTTGCTTTGCTTGACTGGTCTTGTGACCCCTTGTTCTCCCCCACTTTGCCTATGGGGGTGTGTCAGATCACTATAGCTGATGCATGTTTGTAGGCTATAGTGGGGTAGCACATATGGGGTACAGCTTTCTAGGGTTGTATTTGTACCCAACTCTGACTTAGTCATTTCATTCCTGTTCTTCATTCTCACAAATCATGTGTTTGCCACGAGCGCGGTCTGTGCTCTCGTCGCACATAATGCCAATGTATGGCGACGCGTGCACGTGTCGCATTTGCTCGCGGTGAAGGAAAGTGGTTAAAGCCTTCACCATTTCCGAAAAGCCGTACCTGGCCATTACCAACGGTTCGTTGTTAGTGCATATTGAAAAAAAAAAAAGGAAAATCAAGGAGTACGGAGTTCAACATCAAGTGAGACTCACCGTGTGATGTACACGTCGTAAGACTGTCGCGGTATGTCGGCGACGCCCTCCTCAGCAAGAAACTGCACGAGCCTGGGGTACATCTGAATCGGTGTGTCCGTCTTGCACACAAACACGATGCTCCGCATTAGCCGCGAAATCCGCGCGCCCTCCGGATCGCCCTTCGCAAAGTCATCGATGCGTTTCTGCTCCTCGATGTTCTTCATCAGACCCATTTGCTTCTTCATGGCATCGTCGTGCTTCACGCTCTCCTCGTGCCAGCGAAAGGACCCGATCTGGAGGTCCCGTCCTCCTTTCCCATTGCGGCCATAGCGAGCATCGTCCTTCCCGTGCTCTTTACAGACACTGTAGCGAACACAAGGGAAACCGTCAGTCGATTTATCAAGGATTAACCATGGGAACCGCGGAAGCCATTCCAACGTGTAGGTTTTCTGGGCCTTCAAATACAACTTCTCCTTCTTCTCCTCTTCGGTGAGTCGGACTACAGGTGTTGTTTTCTTGGCAGGTGGCGGCGGAGTCGGTGTAGGCTTAACGGGCTGCAGACCAATCCCGAGCACGGACTGCGTGAAGCGCCGCTTCTTCGGCGTCTGTGAGGCGGTCGAGTCTGGAATAGACGCATCCACGACCTGTGTTGGTGCTGTCTCGGCCGGTTCAGCGATGCTTGGGTGGTGCGATTCATCGCACACCTCGTTCTGTCCGTCGTGGTCTTCATCTTCTTGGCGTGGTGAGCGAACCCACACCTCGACCCCAGCGGAATGCTCGTCGTCGTCCGGTCCATCCTGACGATACCAATCGTCGCCTCCCCAGTAGTCACCACCGCCATCTTGCTGGTCGCCGGCGTGCTCGTGGGAACGATGTACCCTGCGCAGAAACTCTATACCTGTGATGGGGCGAGAGCTGCATGACGGGCCGGGATCAGGATCAGGCGCAGCAGAGTCAGCGTGGTCTGCGTCGTTAGCCATCTGTGGCAAGGCTGCAGGAGAAGGATGGCTTGAGGCGTGGTAGTGATGCTGGGTACCTCAAGCCTGATCACAGATTGTGGAAATGGATGGAGAAACACGGGTTCACCCCCCGGTGAGCCAGCCGAGCACTAGCAGGGCTTGGCCGCGTCGCCCACGTTTACACCTTCCGTGCGCTGTATCATTAATGAATCCAAACTGACTTTCAGATGTGGCTGGGAAAACTGCCACTCCAGCCAATCAGCTCGCAAAATGCCGCCAACACACGAAGAGAAATCTCGATGAAGTGCTCGGCGACTCGGTTTAACCCCGGTAATTGGGGAAAGGGGGGGGGCGGGGGGCGGCTAGGGGGCCTGTATCCTCTGTACAGAGTAAACACCATCCTTAGAAAAAATACCCTGGGGCCTCAGAGTGAACTATATCTCAACCCTGATACATCAGAGAAAACACAACTCCCAAAATCATAACCCAGCAGGTACAGAGTCACCCTAAAAAACAACTCTGATTTTCAGAGAAACAGAGTGATTTACTCGGATAACGTGGGCCCTGCCCTCAACGAGTTCATTCAGTGCCATCAAAAGATGGACAAGCCGGAGATGCGGGCAGCGGCCGTGAACAGTGACGGCAACCACATATCCTTCAGCTACACGCTGTATGAGAGGGACCTACAAAGGCAAGAGACCGACGGCGTGTTACGAGCTGTCGTTGAAGTTCATCTGTGCTATCGACAAGGAGCTAGAGTGGCACATGAGGGACCTGGAGCATCTCGAGGGGACGAAGCTGTTTCGCTTTGTCTCCTACGTACCAGACAATGCAAAATGAGTGGAGTAATTCAAACAATGGTTGGCTAAGCTCCACAAGGTATACAACAACAAGCTTTCGGGTATGCGTGTGTTTGGTACCCATGTATCTACTCTGGTATTTTCCATCGCTTCTGTATAGCGTTTGTTCGCGTCCATGCGCATGTGTCTGAAATTGGTTGTTTGATTCAATGAAACAAGTATGCTTGTTTGTTTGGTGCTAGTGTGTGATTATTGAAGGTTAACGAGGTTGTGTCTATGTCATTGAACAGCACTGCCAATCATTCTCGTGCTTCGATAAATCCGCTCGAAAACGCGTCACATGAGAGGACGGATCGACCAATTGCGGCCTGCATCGCACTGTAACCACGGTTATTCTGTTCGAATCCTTCAGAACCTTTTCTAACCCCGCCCAGGAATGTGTCCCGCTCTTTTCCCCGTCATCTCTCTACGCGTTCGCTCTCTCACTCGCACGCGCGCTCCCACCTGTCATGCTCCCACACATTCAAAAAGTCGCATCTCATAACTGCTCCTCATCCTTTTGTTGACAATTTCAGCTCAACATTTTCCTCACTTGCCCTCACAACCTTTCCTGCTCCTGCGTTCGACTACTGGTAGGGTCACAGCAACCCTTCCTCAGCCTCGCTGCGCACGCGCCATGGGACTCTCGAGGCAGCTCTCGGTTCTCGCCGCTGTCTGCACGCTCGCATGGCTGCTGGCGTTACCGGCTGCAGCACGGCCCAGCAAGGAGGATCTGATCAACGAGGTGAAGGCGGCCAAGGAAGCGATCAACAACCCCAAACTGAACGGCCGATACAAGAGCAGTGTCACATTCTTGGACAGTCTCGTCCCGATCATGGGTAAATCATTCCACTTGCGTGCATTAATGCACGTCCGATTCTGGGTAAATCGTTGCTACACCTTCCACGAAGTTGCGTGCCAGGCGCACTTTCATTTATAATTATTGAATTAATACTTTCCAATCTCCCATTCTTGTCAAAATTACCGTGCGTCATCTCCATTATCGCTCACGTTTGTGGAACCGTCGTATCCATCAATTCTTTAGACCGTGTTCCTATTTTACGATTCAGAGACGGACTGGAACCCACCGGACGAGTAACTCGCCAGCACCGAGTCTTCTTTTAAGTCGACTCAAAAGCACGTTCGTGCAACCGTCTTATTCACGTTCAATTCTTTCCTTTTCTGTGATGCAGAGACAGACTGGAACCCACCAGACGCATACCTCGCCAACACCGAGGGGAAAACCGTCCTTCTACCCGACGATATGGCCATCGCTTCCGCGGCACCTGAGGCGGTTACCATGTTCACGAAATCCAAGTTCAAGCGCAGCGACGTTACCCCATACGGGAACTGGATTCGCGCAAACATTCTGGACGGAGTGTACGAGGAGGATGACCTGAAGACGGCCAAAGGGCTGAAGAACGCGAATGGGCGCACAGTTGATTCGGCTGAGGTTGTGGATAGCAAGAGTGGGCGGAAGAAGGTGACAATCGGGAAGGGCAAGGCAAAGATCAAGGAACAGACGATTTTTAGAGGGAAGTTGTTTATCATCCATGGCGTGGATGCGGTGCAGCCCAGGGAGTAGAGTTACATCTTAGACTATTTTGCTTTTGATAGTGAGTGAGATTCTACGGTACCACCGGTACTTGTGCAATGTGCTGAATAAAAGCTGCTTGGCTAGGCCTCTCGTCAACTGTGCCAAAGTGCACAAAGCTTTAGGGCAGGTATGCAGGGAGTCCTCTGGATCAGTCTTTCTTGTTATCCTTGAGAGCGATGAGAGCAATGCTGTTGGGGATTAGACTGTTGTGCTTGTGATACTGAAGGTTCCACCTTGAGTTACTGGAAGTTTGACTGACACTATGGTCTGGTCCGTAGTTGTGTTAATGCCACTTTGAATATGAGCGGTTCTCTCCTGGTGATGCCACCTTGCAACCGTGTTAGAGGTTGGATTTTTTGGCTAGGCTTATCATGCACAAAGCTTGAGGGCAGGTAAGCAGGGAGCAGCCCTGGATCAGTCTAGTGCTTAAGATTATGACATTCCAACAGCAATCTGTTGTCATTGGCATCAGGAGTTGCATGCACTGAGATTCAACTGAACCCTCCACCACAAAATGAGAGCAGCATACCGGTATGCCTGCACTATTACCTACTCAACTCACTCACCCAACTCAAGTGTAATAGGCAATGAGTCTCCCTCTGCCTGACAATCATCCCGTAGAGAGACAAGACAACATGGCCTACAGCATGCCCATTGCTAGAAAGGCATAGTGCCGGCGTTGCGGAAGCTTGATTGTAGAATAAGTAGCAAGAGGAACTTGCAACTGAAATGATTCAGAACAATAGGATGATTATGAAATGACAGAGCAGGGTATTTATCTTGACCAGCTAACCCCTTCAGGATGGTTCTATCCACACCAACAACGCCACACCAATAATTCTACCCGCCAATAATTCTTACCCTCCAATAATTCTAGACTCCAGTAATTCTGACCCTCCAATAATTGTACAATTATTGGAGGGCTGAGAGTCTTATAAAGGAACACTACAGTAAAACCTAACAGCATTAGTATCATCTTATGTTTGTATATTTAACACCCATCACAAGCCAAGCCTACTGCACGCCTACAGATCTGTGTGGCAGCAAGTTGACGTGCAAGGCCCTAACGTATTCCCCACGTGACAGCACCTCCTTGCACGTGCGGCGGAGGATGAGCGTGTGTGTGCTCACACTGTGCCATGTTAGGTGCCCTTGGAGAGATGAGACAACGCACACTGCAGCAAGCCCACACGCCTACTGCACGCTTCAAGGTCTCCTCTTATGGTACTGTTGCCTAAAAATCATCATCTCCCCGTGAGAGCACCTCCTTGCAGGTGGGGCGCAGGATGAGTGTGTGCTCAAACTGTGCCACGTAGCTGCCCTTGGTCTCACACAGCGGCGGATGCGGCTGTACAGGAGGGGGAGGGACGGGTGGGGGACGGGTGAGACAAGGGGTGAGAGCAAGGCAAGACAAGCTGAGCCACGTGGCTTCCCTTGGTCTCGCACAATGGCGAGTGCAGCTGCACTGGTGGGGGATGGGTGGGACCCAAGGTAAGGGCAAGGCAAGGGAAAGTTGGCACCATCCATCCATGCCTGCGCCCTGCTTTCACCCACCCTCAAGTCCATGGGCCACACCTACGTGCAGGCTGATGGCCTCCACACCCTGCTCACTCATTCATGCACTACGCCCCCTGGTGCTTGATGCGCACACCTACTCCCACCCACCTGCACAACTCTGGCATCACGCAGATTGTGGGGCGCCATGAGATACTTGAGACATGGATGATTGCCCTTGCACCTGCCCTAGCTGGCCCTCCCATGTGCAAGCAACCATGTGCACCCATCTGCACCATACCTGCACCACACTGCACCCATTTAGATATAGCATGCACCCACGAGCATGACGCCCGCATTGCAGGGGTTCTTGAGCGGCGTGAGGTACTTGGTCTCGCCCAGCCCAACCAGGGTATATGCACCCACCCACTCCCACCCACCCTCACCACATTGCACCTCGCTACTGCAGGCACCCACCTTCACCCATGTGCACCCACCTTCACCCATGTGCACCCACCTTCACCCATGTGCACCCACCATCACCCATGTGCACCCACCTTCACCCATGTGCACCCACCTTCACCCATGTGCACCCACCTTCACCCATGTGCACCCACCTTCACCCATGTGCACCCACCTTCACCCATGTGCACCCACCTGCACCACTCCGGCGTCGCAGAGGTTCTTGAGCGCCATGAGGTACTTGGTCTCGCCCAAGCGGTCCAGATAGCGCCGGCAGAACGCCAATGTGCCAAAGTTGCGGTCTATTGTGGCCAATAGCTGCTTGGCACGTGGCAGCCTGGTGGGAGAGAGGGATGAAAGGGGGGGGGAGGGGGGAGGGGAGGGGGGAAGGAGAAAGGGAAAGGGGAGGATGAAGAAGGGAGGGGGAGTGTGGAAGGGGGAAGGAGAGGATGAAGAGGGGAAGGGGGAATGGGAAGAGGAAGGAATGGAGGAGGGGGGAGGTGAGAGCAATTTATGAGATGAAGCATAGTGGGAAGCGATTTGTGAGGAGAGAGCGCATGGAAGGCAAAGACACTTAGGGAGTGACAGAGACGGATGCACGGATGATGGTGATGTGCATCCAACGTGCTTACAGGAGAGGAGCGAGGACATGGGACGAGGAAGAGAGATTAACACAAGGAAAGGGAGTAAAAAGGGGGACGGGGTTGGGAAGAGGAGGGGAGAGTGGGGTCGAAGGGAGAAGGGGGTTTTGAACAAGGGGGAAGAAGAGAGGGGGGGGGGAACAAGAGGGAGCAGAGGAGGCTGAAAAGGGACAAGGCTGCGGGGAGTTGAGGGGCACACGAAGGCATGGATGGTACGTCTCCTCTCAGGCTTGGATGGATGGTAAGGAGCAGTCACCTGAGAGGTACGTGCCCCACGTCAAAGTTCTGCCGTCCACAATCATGCCAGCACACATGGGCACATGGAGACATGGAGACATGGAGACATGTAGGCATGGAGGCATAAAGATGAGAGCCACATGGAGAGGGGAAAAAAAGTGGAGATCAAGACTGGCACTCGTTGTTGCTACAACATGGCCGAAACGAGGAGAGGAAGAATGGCGTGCAACGATATATGACAGACTCCAATTGCATCAGACAAGAGAAACGAAGTAACCGCACGGGCAAGAGAGCAGCACGCGTAGCAGCAGCAACATCACCACGCACCATGGTGCTTTCACCTAACCACAACACCCGCCTGCATGACATGTTGAACCCTTTACCCATGCCTTTCTAGTGGGCACGCAGCCCCACCTTCATGTAGTGCGAGCACTCGAGGTCCTCGCGCACGTAGCCCTTGCCGGTGGACCCAAACGTCTCGATGGCAAACAGCTCCCCCTCCTCCATGCGCGTCGCCTCCCCGCCCTTCACGATCGGCACACTCTTCCCCGCGTGGATCTGGTACGGCCCTATGCTGTGCCCGTTCAGATTGCGGATTGCCTTCACTGCAGGGATGAAGCGGGGGGGTGGGGGGAGAGGTGTGAGGGAGGGAGGGGAGGGAAGGGGGAACTGAAATATCTCAACGATCAGCGCGCTCTTCCCCGCAAAATTCTAATGGGTCCAATGCAGTGCCCGTTCAGATTGCGGATTGCGAATTGCAGATTGCCTTCACTGCAGATTGCCTTCACTGCAGATTGCCTTCACTGCAGATTGCCTTCACTGCAGATTGCCTTCACTGCAAGTGAGGAGGCAGCGAGCGAGGCTACCCCTGTGCGGCTCAGCAGAGAAAGCCTGTACCATTGATGGAATGACTTCGTACAACTCCATGACCTCCTGAATGGCGCACCCCACGTCACAGAGCCAACCAACAACTCCCGTCAAGAGATACAAAGGCAACCAACACCCTACCCTACAGGTGACAAAGGCAGGAGGCAGCGCTGGTACTGTGGCTCATCAAGGAAGGTCTTGCCGTTGATGGTGGCTTGGTACAAATCCATGACCTCCTACATGGCGCCCCCCAGAGCCTACCAGTGCTTCCCTTCAAGAAAAATTCTACGGTCCACACACAAGACACCCTACAGAAAACACACGCCATACCCAGCAGACAACCTCACCAGGGAAGGTCTTCCCATTGATGGTGACTTCGTACGACTCCATGGCCTCTTGAATGGCACACCCCACGTCACACAGGCGCAGAGCCCACCAGAGACACTGTAAAGGCAACCTCACCAGGGAAGGTCTTGCCGTTGATGGTGACTTCGTACGACTCCATGACCTCCTGGATCGCACACCCCACGTCACACAGGCGCACGTCAATGCCACACTCCCGCACGCCCGTGTTGGTGGCGTCTTTGACCGCTGCCAGCAGCTGGTCGTACTGCGGGTTGAACGCCACTGTGAACGCACAGTCCACTATGCGGCCTGCGGGAGAGAGAGCAGGGAGCAGGGAGCAGGGATGGAAGGCAGAGAGGGTGGAGGAGTGGAGAGGATTGAAGTGAATGAGGCGCTGCCACCGTTGCACATGTTCTGATAGTAATGGAGCTCAACTGATTGATTAGGAAAGAAGGCACTAGGCCTTAAGCACAAACGAGGTTGGGATGGGCAAGGCTAGGGAAAGGATGGGATGGGAATCCTAGCAAATCTCCAATTGGTGAGTTGGCAGATTTGCAGGATTACGAGGGAATCCCAACCAGATAGAGTTGGGATCACAAACTACACCCAACCCGCAAATAACCTGCGCGATATAGAATATAGTACACAAAGTGTTGACAGCCTATTTCTAACATGTTCGTCTACATTCCCACTCTACCTTATCAAACCTAACTCCTTACTCCCACCCCCTCACCTAACCCACACCTCCAATGTGCATATTGAGTCGATTCAGAAGTTCAACGTTAATATGCCTGCAGTTGATCCATGGGTTTACGGTTTAGCATTAATGAGCTTATGGATAAATCCATGGGTTTAGAGTTTACCATTGATGTGCGTATGGTTCGATCCATGGAATTACGGTTTACCATTACTGTGCCTATGGGTCAATCCATAAGTTTAGGGTTTACCGTTGATGTGCGTGCCAAAGTCGAGCTTCATGACGTCATCATACTGCAGTACTGTCTTGTCTCCTGCATTGGGTGTCCAATGGGCCGCCACCCTGGCATGGATGGGGATTAAACATGCACATGCATACATGCATGCATTGGTGCATGCGTGCATGCACACACATGGGCACAGGGACATGGGATGGGGGCACATGCACAAATGCACACACACGCAGCGCACGCACACATGCACTCGCAGCATGCCACACATCGTGAGGTCCACACACATGCAGGTCAGAGGAAGGAATGAGCATGCATGTGTGTGGACCTCTGACCCACTTGCATGCAACCCCCGCGCACCCAAGTGCAGCCTGGCAGGCACGTGCGGGGCAGACCAAGGGGGCAGTGAACCACCGCAGAGGGAGAGGGAGTGGCAGAGGCTGATGGAGACGGAGGGGAGCGCTCTCGACAGACACACCAGTTGAGGGAGCAGCCGGTGGGGAAGGCGATGCCGGCGTGCAGCCCGTTGGCGGCAATGAGGCGCCTCACCGTGTCCTCCAGCGTCTCACACAGGTCCGTCATCAGCATGCCCGGCTTGATCACCCTCCTCATGTACTTGCGCACCTGGGCGGTGCGCACGGGGGAAGTGGGGCAAGAGCGGGGAGAGGGGGAGTGGGTGGGTTTGGATGCTCTGAGCGTCTCACAGAGGTCCGTCATTAACATGCACGGCTTGATCACACTCCTCATGTACTTGCACACCTAGGGATGTCGGCCAGGGGGAAGGGGGCAGGAGTAGGCGGGAGTGGGTTCAAACAAACAGAACGACTCACAACGGCCCTGCTTGATCACCCGCGGCACGTACTAGCACACCTGGCATGCGCATCGCGGAAAGGGGGTGGAGGGGGAGCGGGTTTAAAGAGTTTGGAGTTTGATGACCTGCCGGATGTACTTGCGCTCTCAACTCAACTCTAGTATAAACCGCAGGGTTGTTGGCTTGGGCGACAAGGAAAGTGGACTAGGAGGTGGGAAAGTGAGGGAGGAGGGATACACATGCCTTGAAACCCCTCAACCATTGATTTAGTGGGTGAGGGAGGAGGGACAGGAGGTAACGCAAGTGTCTCATTCAACCAATTACTTCCCCCATCCCCTTCCCCCACCTCCCTCGTCCCATCTCGTTCCCCCTTTGCCCATCTCCCAACCCAATAACCCATCTCCCATTCCTCTTCCCGAATACCTTACCCTCCACGGGACTACGCATTCCAGCAGACTGGCACAGAGAAATGAGCTATATTGGTGCGACTTTTAAAACTTTTGAGAAAAGTCGCATCAGCACAGAGAAATGAGCTATATTGGTGCGACTTTTAAAACTTTTGAGAAAAGTCGCATCAGCACAGAGAAATGAGCTATATTGGTGCGACTTTTAAAACTTTTGAGAAAAGTCGCATCAGCACAGAGAAATGAGCTAACCCATGAGTATCACCGAGTACAATTATCCATCTGCCATCCCACTTCTTGCCTTCCTTACACACTCACCCTGCCTCCAACAACCCCCAACCAAAACCCCACCATCCCATCCCCCCACTTTCCCTCCGTAAACCCCCCAACAACCCAACCAACCTCCCTCTTCCCCCCACTTCCCCCATCTTTTTCCTTGTACTTTCCCCCATCATTCCCCCCCTTCTCCCCGCCCCCTCACCTGGGGGTGCACCTGCGCGGCCTGGCGGAGGTCGTTGAGGATGGGGAGGGGAACTCCACCCACTCCTGCTTTCCAAGCCCTACCAAAACCCTCCCTCTCTATCCCCACTCTACCCCATCTATACCTGCAACGCTTTCCCTTCATCTTTCCCCCTTCCCCCTCACAGTGCACCACTGCAGCCTGTCCGAGGCCGTTCAGAATGGAGAACGCAAGCGGCTCCTCCTGCGTTCTAAACCCTAACCCTTCCCTCTTTCCTCACCTCCCCCTGACTTCCCTCTGCATCGTTCTTTCCCATCCATGTTCCCCCCGCCCCCGCCCTCTCACCAGCCGGTGCACCTCCGCAGCCTGGCGAGGCGGAGGTCCTTGAGGATTGGGAACACTACCCGCTCCTGTGTCGTGTGCCATGGTAACAAACGACGTGACTTTTGAGTCGACTCAAAAGTCACCTCAATGCGGAGGCCCTTGAGGATTGGGAACTCCACCCGCTCCTGCACCCTAAGCCTTAAACCCTCTCCCTTTCCCCACTGCCCCTTTATCTCCCTCCCCATCTTCCCCCCGCCCTCTCACCTGCCGATGCACCTCCGCGGCCTGCCGGAGGTCGTTCAGGATGGGGAACTCTAGACGCTCCTGCTCGCGCTTCTCTGCACTTGTCTTGCGCCACAGGTTGCTGCCACGCACACAACACGGAACGAAGCGATGGGGAGGGGTAAACAGGGCAGTGGAGGGAAGGAGGCGGTGAGGCGAGTAAGGAAGATAGTGAAAATAGTCTCCAAAGCGCAATCGAACCTCACTCACAGGAGCGGAACGACAATCACTGCTCTACTCACACAACTCTCACGTCACCTGCAGGCTGCACCTCACGCCCTGCGCCCATCCCATGCAGTCAGTCCCACAACGACCGCACTGGTGGCGCTCGCTCGTCTCTGTAGTCGCACATCTCCGCTTGAGGGAAGAGCCCAACGCGGAAAACGTCCTGTCCGTCCGGCCCACGTTGATCTACTCACACAGCAGCAGCTCTCTCACCTGCCATGTCATGTCTCTCTCACACGTCGCAACGCCCACACCACACTGGTCTGGTCTTACTCACTCGTCCTTGTAGTCGCAGATCTCCCCTTGAGGGAAGAGCCCATCGGGAAAAAGGCCCTTCACCGGCACACTGGGAGGATCCGTCTGAACTCGCGGCCCTGCTGTTGTTGCTGCTGCTGCAGATTCTGTTGCTGATGCTGCCACTGCTGATCCTGCTGATGATGCTGCTTCCCCGTTTGTTGCATCGCCATTCGCTGCTGCTGCCCCTGCGCCACCCCTCTTCCTGCGCAGCATTGGCGGGAGCATGGATGCATGTCACAGGCTTAACCTACCCGAGCATGGATGCATGTCACAGGCTTAACCTACCCGAGCATGGATGCATGTCACAGGCTTAACCTACCCGAGCATGGATGCATGTCACAGGCTTAACCTACCCGAGCATGGATGCATGTCACAGGCTTAACCTACCCGAGCATGGATGCATGTCACAGGCTTAACCTACCCGAGCATGGATGCATGTCACAGGCTTAACCTACCCGAGCATGGATGCATGTCACAGGCTTAACCTACCCGAGCATGGATGCATGTCACAGGCTTAACCTACCCGAGCATGGATGCATGTCACAGGCTTAACCTACCCGAGCATGGATGCATGTCACAGGCTTAACCTACCCGAGCATGGATGCATGTCACAGGCTTAACCTACCCGAGCATGGATGCATGTCACAGGCTTAACCTACCCGAGCATGGATGCATGTCACAGGCTTAACCTACCCGAGCATGGATGCATGTCACAGGCTTAACCTACCCGAGCATGGATGCATGTCACAGGCTTAACCTACCCGAGCATGGATGCATGTCACAGGCTTAACCTACCCGAGCATGGATGCATGTCACAGGCTTAACCTACCCGAGCATGGATGCATGTCACAGGCTTAACCTACCCGAGCATGGATGCATGTCACAGGCTTAACCTACCCGAGCATGGATGCATGTCACAGGCTTAACCTACCCGAGCATGGATGCATGTCACAGGCTTAACCTACCCGAGCATGGATGCATGTCACAGGCTTAACCTACCCGAGCATGGATGCATGTCACAGGCTTAACCTACCCGAGCATGGATGCATGTCACAGGCTTAACCTACCCGAGCATGGATGCATGTCACAGGCTTAACCTACCCGAGCATGGGAGTGCGTGCACGCATGGGTGTGAAAGCGTGTGTGTGTGTGTGTGTGTGTGTGTGTGTGTGTGTGTGTGTGTGTGTGTGTGTGTGTGTGTGTGTGCAAGCACCTGTGCAACGTACCCACGTGTGCTTGCTCTTTCACTCACCCTCCCTTTAGACTCGAACCCTATAGCCCTCTCACTCCTTACTCTGCACAACCCCTCACCTGGGCTTGCGCTTTTTCTTGGTGACTGTGCCTTCACCCGCTTCCTCTTATTAGATTATCACAGGGACGAGGGGAAGGGGAAAAGGGAGGGGGAGGAGAAGGGGGAAGAGAGCCATGGAGAGGGACGGGGTGAGAGAGACAAGACATTATAGGCATGGCACGACAGGACCTGGGGTAGCGACCAGTCATCACTAGCAATATCACCATCATTAGCAGCTACTGCTGCTATTATTAACAGCAATACCAACCGTGTTATTAGCACCAGCGTTACTAGCCGCAGCGCTACGAGCAGAAGCAGAAGGGGAAAGCACCACACCACACCACACCACACCACTGACTAACCTGCTCCGCCACCATCAGCGCCCTCCCCTTCCGCCCCTCCCTCCCCTGCTCCTTCCGCTTTCGATGCTGCCTGCCCACTCTCCACGGCCCCACCCGCACCCTCCTCCTGCCCCTGCTGCTGCGCCCCTCCTCCCTTCTTGCCCTTCTTTTTCTTCTTCTTCTTGCTCTTCTGTCCTCCCGCCCCTTTCTCCTGCCATCCACCACCGCACACCACACACCACGCACGCCCCACCACGTCACGCCACACCAGACCGCATCACAGCATACCACAGCAAGCCATGCGGCACAGCACAAGGTAGGAGAAGGTCCGGCTCGTGATGCATGCATGCATGCATGGTCAAGAGAAAGTTTTCTACAATTGTTGTGAGTGGAACGGGGAATCAGAGAAAGCTTCTTAGAAGCAAAGCGTTGCCCACAAGTCTTGCAAACGCAAAGGTTCACAGGGGGGGGGGAGGAGGGGAGAGGGGGGAAGGGGGGCCGGGGAGAGGGGAAGGGGGGCGGGGGAGAAAGAGAGGTTCAAAGTGCAAGGGAATGAGACGAGGGGGGGAATTTTTTCGAAGACTGAATCTAAAACGACAATTTGGCGAGCCACGACAAACCCCCACATGTCTCACGGGAAAAGATTCTGCCCGGTGCCACAGCACACGCAGCTCGCGCCGCGTGGTAGCACGCGCGGCCTTCTAGCAGCCATGATTCTGAACATCTGCGTCTGCCCAGCAGTAGCAATTTCATTTTCCCTCTTCCACAATAAAACTTCAATCAATTCGAGCGCTCGTCACTCACAACTCACCTCTGCTGCTTCCTCGCCTTCCTCCACGTCATCTCCCAATCCCTCCTCCTCGTCGACTGCCGGATTCGACGGCGAATTCTGCGCGGCAACCGCCGCTGCCGCCTCCTCTGCCGCTAGCGGACCTGGCATCGCGACGCGGTGAAGCGAGCCTCAAGGAATTGCAGAAACGAAAACGAAGCGAAATTTTGCGAGAATCAGGCACCAGTTGGAAACTTGGGAACGTGGCGAAAACTCCGCGGGACGGAAGGTGGCGGTGGAAGGGTGGAAGGAAAGACCGTGCCTAACGAGCACAAGTGGCTCCGAAGTAATAAGTGGCTGCCAACTGGGGAGGAACAGAATAGTGTACCCCTAAGGGCGCGGACGAAAACCCTAAGGGCGCGGACGATGGCGAAGGATGGCGAAGGTAACATCTATTTCTGGGGATGGCGGTTGTGTAGATTGATCTGCAGAATCGATGGAGGAGATTGATCGCCAACTGGACATACGGCCGACGTTGTTACACTTGTCATGACCTTGATGTGCTTCGCAGATTTTACAGACCCCAGAACAAGTACACTTACGAGTGTTACAATAAACACAGCAACCCGATTTGCGAAACTCGCTTGCGTGTTGACGAATCATATGCATGTCAACAAACCCAAGCATTTCCCAATTTCACCTTTCAGATTCCAACTTCTGTAGATTCTGGCGCTGCGGAGGCCAGCAGCGCCGTCCGCATCAATGGCGTCGCCCTCGCGCACCTCCCCGCCATCCCCGCGCGGCCCCAACTTCTTCGCGGGCAATCCGCTGCTGCCACGTAAGCAGGAGAAAGCCAGCGTGGCGCAGCTCCTCAGCCCGCCCGACAGCGTTCCCGCCACACCGCCGCTCCCGCCGCTTTCCTCCCGCCCTAACTCCGCGCTTCCCGGCTCCGCGCCCGCGAAATCCCCCTTGGGCGTCGCGCATCTGCTGCGCGCAGTGCCCCCGTCAAGAACATCCTCGTTACCAGCGCATTACTCCCTGCCGCCCGGCGATGTGCCTATATCGAGTCTGCACGGGTCCAGCAGCGCGTCGACCCTTTTAGGCACACCAGATTCTTCGCGAAGCGAACCGAGTGGGATCCGGATCGAATCAAATCCGATCCGGATCGAGCCTCAGGTGCTGGCGGTTCTGGACGGGCGTGTCCTCGTCGCCTGGTCGCAGCGCCGCCTTCCATCCGCCGCTGTCGCTGCCTCCGATGACGTACCTCCAACGAAGGCTCGGCAATCCGGGCGTGCAACAGACCCGGTAACAGGTTCGGCAGCAGGTTCGGCAGTAGGCGCGGACGCATTGGCCTCTGGCTGGTGCCTGGCCTGGCAGCCGCTGTCCTCGTTCGAAGGTGGGAGCAGCAGCAGCGGAGGGGGTAGCAACAGCGGCAGCAGGGTGCGGGAGAAGCTGGTGTATCTGGGGGAGAGGCTCGGCGCGCCCCACTTCGCCCTCGAAGTGCAACTCGACCCCTCCGCCTCTGCTGCCGCTGCTGCCCATGCCGCTGCTGCTGCTGCTGCTGCCCCCTCCTCCGCTGCTGGTGCCACTACCGCTGTTGGCCCCACCGCTGCCAATGCTGCCGCCAGTGGTGCTGCAGGCACTGCCGCAGCAGGGGCGGAAGTGAGAGGAGGGGGAGGAGGAGGAAGAGGAGGCGGGGACGTGGCGGGTCAACGGCTCACTGCCAGCCTGGCAACTCCTGCCACGCCTCCGCCCAGCCCTGACACGCCTGCCGAACCTGCTGTCGAGCCTGCGCTCGCTGCCCCTGCCAAAACTGGCGCAGCCGCTGCCAGCATTGCTCGCGACGCGACCGCGAATCAGGCTGCGGAGAACGAGGCAGCACAGGGGAATGGCAGCAGGGATAATGGGGGCAGTGGTGACGGAGGGGGGGGAGGAGAGCGAGGAGAGGGAGGAGAGAGAGGAGCAGGAGGAGGAGGGCGGGGTGAGAGAGGAGGGGGAGGAGGGCGAGGGGAGAGGGGAGGGGGAGGGGTGGTGATGGTGGCGGGGTATGGGCGGGCAGTGTTTGTGGATCTGCGCACGCTCATGCTCGCCACGCATCCCCTTGACGCCCATGCACGCCACGACCTCGCAATTGCTGGCCATGTGAGTCGAGCAAAGGCTCTCCACCCTCCCTCACCCTCCCTCTACCCTCTCATCTCGCATCCCCTTGCAGCCTCTCCTCGCCCAACATTGCGTCTGCTCCCCTCTCACCCCCACCCTCGTCTCCGTCTCTCTGCATCCCTCCCTCCCCCTCCACCTCCCCTTCCCCCCACCAGGCGCGTGCCCTGCTAGCGTGGCATCGTCGGCGCGCTTCTGTGGCACGTGTGGGGCGCGCAGCCCCCTGTGAAGCGGGAAACCGCACCGCCTCTAGCCACTCTCCTCCTATCTGCGTCTCCATCCCATCCCTCCCTCCACCAGGCGCGCGCCCTGCTAGCATGGCATCGCTCGGCGCGCTTCTGTGGCACGTGTGGGGCGCGCACGGCCCCCTGTGAGGCGGGAAACCGCCGCCTCTGCCCCGTTGCTGCCTGCCGCTCCAAGCTCTATCCACGCATCGACCCGGTACGGTGCTGTGCCTCAGTGACTTGTTGACCCGGTGAGCTCAGCTCTACCCGTGCATTGGCCCCGTACGCTGCTGTGCCTCTGTGAGCTCAGCTCTATCTACCCGTGCATTGACCCCGTAAGCAGACGGCTGCTCTTTGATCCATACACACCTGGCCATGTCTATCCCAATCACCTGCCCATGCATATCCCATTCCGTAACCATTCCATGCTTTCATGCATAATCCACCCTGTCGTTTCACCATCTCACCACCACACTATCCTGTGCCCCATGCCAGGGAGTGGCAACGCTCTTGCTGGTTCTCCGACTCTTGCCTTTCCCAGCCCAGTGGCCAGCCCAGTGGTTATCAAATTCATCCTTTTCCCAGACCAATGGTCAGCACAGGGAGTGGCAATGGTCTTGCTCCACCTCTGCACCTCATCATGCCCTTCCCTTTCCTTCGCTCCCACCCATTTACGTCCCAATCGCCGACCTGCACCTGTCGCCCCACCCCACCGCACTGCACCGCACTCCAACCCACTGCAGGTGGTGATAATGCTGGTGGTGCATGCACGGTAGGATCGAGTGCTTCTGGCACAGCAGCACCCATTACCCTATGATATCGCAACCCACCGTATCCAACCATCGCCCCAGCCCACCCCACCCATCCCACTGCACTCCACCATGCTGCATGGCAGGTGGTGATAATGCTGGTGGTGCATGCACGGTCGGATCGAGTGCTGTTGGCACGGCAGCACCGCTTTCCCGACGCCATGTGGAGCTGCCTCGCTGGTTTCATGGAGGTGCGTTGACCGGGGCATACAAAGGTGCTAGCTTGTGTTGATGTGTGTGCATTTCGACTGCTGTTGACATGGCAGCACTGCTTCCCCGACGCCATGTGGAGCTGCCTCGCTGGCTTCATGGAGGTGCGTTCATGCGCTCATATGTGCTGTGTGCTGCGTGTTGCATGGACCAGTGAGTGTATGTGCTGCTGTGTGTTCTTGCCTCCGCTCCTGTGTATGCTTGCATGTGCTGCTTGCATGTTCATGCGTTCATGCGCTGCGTTCTGTGTGGAAGGGTGAGCGCACGTGGGTCATTGCATGGCAGCACGGCTGATTAAAGTTCTCAAAAGCTCTGCTTTCCTGACGCCATGTGGAGCTGCCTTGCTGGCTTCTTGAAGGTGCGCTCATGCAGTCATGTGTGATGTGTGCTGCGCGCTGCATGGACCAGTGAGTGTATGTGCTCCCGTGTGTGCTTGCATGGCACGGCAGCACCGCTGCATATAAGGGTGTGTGCAGATTCTGTTCTGTGTGCATGTCGAGTGTGTGCATGTCGAGTGTGTGCATGTCATGTCAAGTGCTGCTGCCACGGCAGCACTGCATCCCCGACACCGTGTGGAGCTGCCTCGCTGCCTTCATGGAGGGCCGATGCTCCCTGCTGCCTGTAAGGGCTTGGCTTTTGCATGTGCTGCTGCTCTGTGTGCACATGCTGCTGCAGCATCACTTCCCCCGACGCAATGTGAAGCTGCATCGCTGCTTTCATGAAGGTGCGGTGCTCCCTGCTCCCTGCTGCGTGCATGTGCTGTTGGCACGGGACAGCGTTGCCTTTAAGAGGCATCGGGCATTATTGCCCCGATGCCATGTGGTGAAGCTGCCTCTCTAGCTGCATGGGGGTGCGTGTATGCGCCCATGCATTCATGTGCCCTGTGCTGTGTGGAAGCGTGGCGTGGGTGCCTCTGCTCCTGGCATGACAGCACCGCACCGCTGGTTATAGAATTTTCAGCAGCTCTGTTTTCCTGATGCCATGTGAAACCGCCTCGCTACCTTCATGGACGTGTCTTCATGCGTTCATGTGCTCCGTGCTGCCTGTGAGGCTGCGTGCATACATATCCTGCTCTACATGCATGCATGCGTGCTGCCTGTGGGGCTGCATGCATACAAAATTCTGCTCTACATGCATGCATCCGTGCTGTCTCTCCCGCTTGCGAGACTTTGTTGATGGCAGTGGCATGGGAGGCTGGAGGAGAGGGACGAGGGGGAGGGGGATGTACAGAAGAATGAGTGAGATGCGAGGGGGGAAGATTCAAGGAACAGAGTTTTTTTTTTTTTTTTTTTTTTTTTTTTTCAGAAACACCTTTTGACCTGCCCCTCGTACCGTTCACCCGTGCACATTCTTCCTTTCCCCTCATCTTCCCCCTGTGTACCTTCCCTTCCCATCAGCCTGGGGAGAGTCGAGAGGTGGCAGTGGCACGGGAGGAGGAAGAGGAGGAGGGGGAGCATACATAGGAGCCTCAAAAGCACACACTTGTTTCCGTTTTTTCTCCTCGTCCCCCTTTGTGTGTGCCTTCCCCTTCCATCAGCCTGGGGAGAGTTTCGAGGAGGCAGTGGCGAGGGAGGTGAGGGAGGAGGAAAAAGGGGAGGGAGAGCATACAGCGGAATGAGTTTTGAGCCATTTAATAAAACCCCTTCGTCCCCCTGTGTACCTTCCCTTCCCATCAGCCCGGGGAGAGTCTAGAGGAGGCAGTGGCAAGGGAAGTGAGGGAAGAGGTGGGGCTGTGCATCACTCACACGCGCTACCACTCGTCGCAGCCGTGGCCTGGTGAGTGGAGAGGAGAGGGCACGTGCACAGAGCAGCACAGCACAGCATATGTGCTCCTAACACATGGGTGGCGAGGAAGGGAGGTGCGGGAAGAGGTGGGGCTGTGCATCACGCACACCCGCTACCACTCCACTCAGCCATGGCCTGGTGAGAGGAGAGAAGAGGAGAGGGCGTGTGTGCCGTTGGCAGGTAAGTGGAATCATACCACTCCCGCTACCACGGATCTCAGCCTCTGAACACCCACCTTTTTTTTCTTGCAAGGAAGGGGTTCTGGGTGAACGCAGAAGGGAATGACTTTGAGTGACGATCAGTTGTCTCTCGAGTCTCTACTCTAGCAGTTGAATCTGAATGAAGCCTCTCTACCAGCTGACAACTCAAAGCACCAATGCGGCGTGGCGATGTGGTACGAAGGCGGACGAAGCACCTGTTGCCCAGATATGCTGAACGCAGGGTTAAACATGCAGCCATCTCCCTTGCGCCTCTCTATACCACTCCCCTACTTCTCCTCGCCCCCACCCACCAGTGGGGTTCAGCAGCATGCAGTGTCAGGTGATGGTGGGTCATGGGACAATCTCTCCTCGCCCTCCTCCCCTCTCCTTCCCCCCATCATCCCCACCCACCAGTGGGGTTCGGCAGCATGCAGTGTCAGCTGATGGTGGGCTTCTATGCCTTTGTGGACGACACTGCTGTTACCCTCAACACACACGAGCTGCAAGGTACGTGTGCTCGTCATGTGTGCATGTGTGTGTGCGTGTGTGTGTGTGTGGTGTGTGTCTGTGCGTATGCGTGTGTGTCAGCCAATGGTGGGCGTTTTTGCATTCATCAATAACGCCACTGTTGCCCTCAACACACACGAGCTGCAAGGTGTGGTGTGTGGTGCATGTGGGTGTGGGGAGGTGGGTGCTTCTTGTGGGATGGTGTTGCAAGGTGCATGCGGGTGGGTGAATGAACAGGAGCCGCAACATGGGTGCATGCCTGTGCATGTACGTGTGTGGGCAGGGGAGCGTGTGCGCGTGTTATTGGAACAGTAGTGGAGTGGTGCATGTGCGTGGGTGGGTGGGCACAAGCTGCAAGGTGTGTGTGGGTGCGTGGGTGTGTCGGAGGAAAGTTGTAAGGTGCAATGAAGAGTAGGGACTGTCTTGTGTCACTGGAGTAGCCATCTAGTTGCATCAGTCTCAATATGTGTGCAACGAAAAGCTGTGGTGTGCATGTTTGTGGGATTCCATTACTAAAATTTTTGGTCTAATGGGTTTTTTCTTCTTCTTTAAGCATGCACTTCTATCCATGCCCTTTCGTGGTTCTGTTTGTGATGGGTTTCCAAAGCGACATCGCACCCTACCCTACCCTCACAGTGGAAGCGTTTTGTGTATACCTCCTCCATACAAGATCAGAAATCATGCATGTGAAAAAACATTTTGTGCATACAATCTTATGTCTGCTGCAGATGCTCACTGGTTCACACGCCAGCAGGTTACAGCCGCACTTTCCCCTGAGAGATACGCGACGGAATGCACTGCCGCGAGTCGCAAGGTGTATCTTAAACTAGTTCCACAAGCACACGAGGACTCGCTGCCTCCAGAGCATAAGCCCAACAACCATGTATATGTCCCAGGGCCCTACGCCATAGCCCACCATTTGATAGCTACTTGGTCGCGTGACAAAAGCATTGTGGATGGAGGACACAGTTGCTTATGATGTAATGAGGGCAATGATCATTAGGATGTCACCAACTTCAGTGTCTGTTTGCACGAGTGCCAAAATGCACAGCTTGTTGTATGGGGAAATGGTTGTTGGGCTGACTGCCCTTAAGGATCTTTGGTAGAGTTAAAGTCTGAGTTAAGTGATGTAGTAGCGGAAGCGTTTTGAGTAAAGTCTTTGAACCACCTTGCGCTAGTATGTGAGGGCAAAGTAAGTTGATTAAAGCAAAGAGATACAAGAATATATATATGAATACAGAGAATATGAAGAGACATAATTATAACTACTTTACTGTTGCGGTTCGATACAGTGCGACTCGAGCAACTGCTCAATGTCGAGTCAGTTGTGTGCCCTTGCTGTCGCGCTGCATTTGTCAGGTCAAAGGTCGCTGACCTTTAACTTTCGCGTAACCTCCAGCGGTTACATCAACCTCCGAGGGTTGATTCGCTAGTGCTTCGATATGCGCTGCTTCGCTTGTGTCTTGGTGTTTCGACACGACAGAGGCGCTTAGGACTGTTTCTTCCCAACACTCCCCTTCGCTTCTGGAGTGTCGCAGATGGTGACGTGGCATTGTCCAGTCAGCAGCATGAAGTACTCGAACTTCTGTTTTCCGGGCTTCTTGGTCAAGTAGTCAGCTGCCATCTCGGACGTGGGACAGTAGGATAGTTCGAGTTTCCCCTTCTCGATCTCGTCTTTCACTAAGAAATATCGCAGAGCGATATGCTTCGTTCTGTTCACGAATCCGCTTTTGTTGGCGATGCGATTCGCAGATTGGTTGTCGCAGAACAGAGTGAAGTTGGGTAACTCGGCTAACTTCGCTTCTTCCAGAAGTTCGCGAAGATAGAGTCCTTTCTTGGTGGCTGAGCAGAGTGCGATATATTCTGCTTCAGCTGACGAGAGAGCGATTAGGTCCTGCTTGCTCGGTTGCCAGGTGATCGGTCTGATAGGTTCGAGGCGGTAGATGTAGCCAGTACGGGAGCGCCTATTGTCTGAGTCGCCAGCGTGATCGGCGTCGACGTAACCGATTAATTTCGTCGGTGTAGTTGTGTTCTTGTAGTATGTCAGTCCGATCGTTGAGGTGCTTACGAAGTAGTGGAGAGCGCGGTCGAGCTCCGCCAGGTGTTCTGCTTCAGGTCTTTTGAGGTAGGTGGCGAGTTGACTTGCGGAGTAGGATAGATCTGGGCGGCAGGTGACGGCTGCGAAGAGAAGGCAGCCCAGCTTTCTCTGGTGGTCGCGTATCCCGGCGGATTTGAGAAGAGAGGATCCTTCATTGTGGTTTCCAGTCGTATAACGGTAGGGCATAGAGATGGTGGTAGGTGTGAGCGCGAAGCGTTTGGCAATGGTGTCGGCGTACTTAGCGGCATTGAGGTAGATCGCGCCTTCTTCCTCCCAAATGTTCAAGCCGAGGTACTGTCTGACGGTAGAGGAGACCGTGAGTGTGAGGTCCCTCTGTAGCTCCCCTTCGAACCAGGTGGTGATGTCGTCAGTAGAGCCGATGTAGAGTAAGTCTTCTACGTAGACGATCATGTGAGAGTTGAAGAACAGGAATGAAATGACTAAGGAAACATTGGGTACAAATACAACCCTAGAAACCTGTACCCCATATGTGCTACCCCACTATAGCCTACAGCAACTATGTCATATAAATCTGACACACCCCCATAGGCAAAGTGGGGGAGAACAAGGGGTCACAAGACCAGTCAAGCAAAGCAAAGCAAAGCTCAGGGTGGATCACAAAGTCACCACACAGTCCGAGCACAAGGTCAAGGCCACAAGGCCAGTTCACATGCAAGACTAGACACATATATATATATAAGGCTAAACAAGCAAGAGCAGGTATATATATATATATATGCAGGAGTACAAGCAAGGTCAAGAGGTGAGCAAGTGAGGTAGGACAGGTACAAGTCCCAGCTGAGTGCAGAAGCGCTAATGGTCACAAGGCGCGAGTGCCTTGGTGAACACATCAGCAGTGTTGGCCTCAGAGGCCACGTACGCAAGCCGCAACTGTCCACGCTGCTGTAGCTCACGAGCAAGGAAGTAGCGAAGAGCAATGTGCTTCGTTCTGTGCTCCAGACGCTGCTCTCGACACAAGGCCAGCATGGCCTTGTTGTCTACGTACAGCACTGGAGGAGAACGAGGCGGCTCTCCAAGGTCAGTCAGCAGGTAGGTGAGCCAGCGAAGCTCCTGTGCAGCCATGGCCCCTGCATAGATCTCAGCCTCACAATTGGAGCTGAGAACCGAAGACGAGCGAGTAGCCCGCCACGAGACAGAGCCGGAACCAAGGCTGAAGGTGTAACCCTGTGACGACCGCTGCGTAGCCTGGTCGTCAGCCCAAGAAGCGTCCGCGTGACCTGTAAGGACCACTGGACTCCGCCCTCCAAGCACTAGCCCCATGCCCGACGTACTTCACAGGTAGCGCAACACCCTCTTCGCTGCAGCCATGTGCTCTGGTCGGTGTCTCCCAGGAGCAACATAGCGTGCAAGAATGCTAAGAGGGTACGCAAGGTCAGGTCGTGTGCAGGTCATCAGGTACATGAGGCAGCCAACAAGCTCTGCATACGGACCACTCGACTCTACGGACTCATCCGAAGGCAGAGCTGAGAGCGAGTGGCGAGTAGACAGAGGAGTGGCCTGAGGCGAGGAGTACGTGAAGCCGAAGCGCTGAAGGACCTGCTGCACCATGTGTGACTGAGTCAAGGTAATGGTGCGGCGTGCTCTGTCCCGAGTGATCTGCAAGCCAAGATAGCTGCGCAGTTCACCCATGTCTGTGCACGTGTGTCTCTTCAGCAGCTCGGACTTCACGTAGGCGAGTCCAGCAGTGTCCGTTGTGGCAAAGACCAAGTCGTCGACGTACACGAGGATGTAGAACGGCGGCAAAGAAGTGTCGGTGCGCAGAAACAGCGACGGGTCAGCAGTAGAAGGAGCAAACCCAAGAGCCGGAAGCGTAGTCCTTAGTGTGTCGTACCACTCACGCGGTGCCTGGCGGAGACCGTAGACTGGCCGTCTGGCACCGGCCACCCCCATACCCGCCACCCCACAGCTCGCCCCTCAGGTCGCCTCGACGGACGACGGGAAATGGGGGGGAGGGGAGAAAGGGGCCCACCACGGACCTGAGAGAGTCGCAGGTGGGGGGACGGGGCCGGGGCCGGGGCCGCGAGTAGGGCGACGGGGCCGCGCGGGCAGCGACGGGGCCGTTGCGGCGGCGACGGGGCCGCGCGGGCGGTGAAGGGGCCGCGGCAGGTGGGGACGGGGTCGCTGCGGGCGGCGACGGGGCTGCACGGGCGGCGACAGGGCCACTGCGGCGGCGACGGGGCCGCTCGGGCGGCGAAGGGGCCGCGGCGGGTGGGGACGGGGTCGCTGCGGGCGATGACGGGGCCGCACGCGACACCCGAGACCGTCGTAACGGACGGGCGGGGGCCGCGCGCGGCTCCCCTGGGCGGCGCGACGGGGCAGCGGGCGGCGCGCCAGAGAAGAAAGGGGCCGCGACGGGTCCCCGTCGCCCGTCGCGACGCCTCCAGAGCGAGACGCGGCGAACGCCGCGGCAGAAGCCCGCCGCACGCCTCGGGGCGCACAGCGGGCAGAGAACCGCCGCACGCCTCGGGGCGCACGGCGGGCAGAAAACCACCGCGCGCCTCGGGGCGCACGGCGGGCAGAAAACCGCTGCGCACCTCGGGGCGCACGGCGGGAGGAAAAAAGGTGGCAGCGGAAGCGAGGTGGGAACCCACCCATAGGATCGATCTAAGAGGATCGACCTGCTCTGATACCATGTCAAAGTTTAAAGGCAGAAAGAGGATTGAACTAGCAAGAATGAGGATACAAATAGCAAACCCTAGAAGGGTTGTACTCGCTATAGAGCACCCCACTACTGCCTAGAACAATAAGATAATATTATGACAGAGAAAGTCCAAGAACCTGCTGTAGGAGCGGAACGAAGTACGGCCGAGGCCGCGCGGCAACTCCAGACTCAGCAGGGACAGCACCAGCACCCTCAGCGGCAGCACCAGCACCACCAACACCTCCAGCGGCAGGACCTCCAGCAGCACCAGCAGCAGGACCACCGCCAGGACAGACAGCAGTAGTCTCAGCACCAACACCCTCAGCAGCTCCAGCTCCAGTAGGACCCACAGGCCCAGCAGCTCCGGGACCGGCGGCACCAGCACCCTCGACGGTCGAAGAAGCTCCAGCTCCAGCAGTACGCCTCCAGCGGCGAGCAAACCACTCGCGCAGCTCCTGTGGAGAGAGGGGCTCCCGCCGAGACGGAGCACCAGGAGAAACCCCAGGCTCAGCAGCTCCAGACGCAGCACCCCCAGGCTCAGCAGCTCCAGACTCAGCACCCCCAGGCTCAGCAGCTCCAGACTCAGCACCCCCAGACTCAGCAGCTCCAGGCAGAGCACCCCCTGGCTCAGTACCCCCAGGCTCAGCACCCTCAGCAGCAGCACCCCCAGGCTCAGCACCCCCAGTAGCAGCACCTCCAGGCTCGGCACCCCCAGGCTCAGCACCCACGCGCACAGCACCCCCAGAGTCAGCACCCCCAGGCTCAGCACCCGCAGCAGCACCAGAGTCACTAGTAACCTCGACCGGGACAACTGCGTCTACCTGGGACACACCTGAGGGGGCAGGAACCTGAGGGGGGAGGGGGTCTACCGGAGGGGGAACCGGCACAAGAAAGTCCGGTGGCGGGGGGAGAGAACGAGTGCGGTAGGGGAAGAGGCGGTAGAAGGGGACTGACTCGTCGAACGTGACGTCATGGGAGGACAGAACACGACGAGAGGAGGGGTGGTAGAACTGCCACCCTAGAGCGTCAGGGGGGAAGCCAAGGAAGACACAGGGAGCAGCACGAGGGGACAGCTTGTCTGCAGACAAGTCGCGGACAAACGCCCGAGATCCCCAGACACGGAACGCAGACGCATCGCCGACCTTCCCCGT